CCCAACTATTACAACTATACCCTGAAATTTGAACAAATCATATAATTATCTGTTATGGATATCTTAAATTACTTCGTGTTCGCTTTGCATTACTTTTTTTACTTAAACACGTACAAAATAAAAAAACTTTATACACATTTTAATATGACTAGCACTTTAGATTTAGAAAAAAATAAAAGTAAAGGTGGTAGGCCTCCCAGCTCTATCTGGAAGGACGCTATTAGAGGAAATCCCGTTAGTTCAGGAAAATATCATGCCACTTGTAAATCTTGTAATTTTTCATGGTCGCAAGGTAATATATCAAAACTTGAAGAGCACTTTGCGAACTACTGCTCGGAAGCTCCAGGATCTATTGTTAGAAAATATTTAAATAAAATATTAGAGCGTGAAGATAAAGTTAATAAAAAAAGAAAAATTGTTGGAAATAATCAGTTAACTATGACTAAGGTTGCTTGCCGAAACCTAGGGGTTTAGGCAAGATGGCGTTTCGCCGAAAAGCGAAATTCTGCCGAAACTATATTAAAGTTATATTAAAAAACTGGCGAAACTTTGGAGAATGGTGAAACTGCTGAAACTTATTATAAATGCCGAAACTGCCGAAACTCTGCCGAAACTATAATAAATCTATAGTAAAATTTTGATGAAACTAATCGTAGGATTTTGAAGAGGTTTAGACAAGCAACCTTAACTATGACAAACTATCATGATTCCAACAAAATTCCTAATGGTAGAGTAACAAGGATTAATTGTGCCTTGGCTAAATTTTCGTTGCATGTGGTATTTATTCCGGATAGTCGAGCATCCTTTTTTTATTAACTTTGTGAAGGAGCTTAATTCTTTGTATGAGCTGCCAACCAGAGAATTTTTGTCAGATCAGTTACTTGAGCGGGAATTAGTAATGGTGAATTCAACTGTCACATCCGTCATTGAAAATGAAGCTAATTTAACTTTAGGTTTTTAATATACTTTTTTTTATTTTTTTAAAACAATATTATTAATGTGTTTTTAAGTAATAATATTAATATTAATATAATTTAGCGTTCGATGGTTGGACATCCCCCACTCATCGTTCCATATGGAATTTTGTTATTATGACTCACTCGAGAGAAGAGTATTTGTATAAACTTCAAGATTTGTCAGAACATTCGCATACAGGTAATTACATAGCCGAAGTGATTGGAGAAGTAATTGAAAAGATCGGTCCAAATAAAATATTGGCTATTGTGTCTGATAATGCTTCAAACATTCAGAATGCACGCAAAATTATTGAAGAGAAATATTCTAACATCGAAAATGTACGATGTATAGCTCATGTGGTTAATCTTATTGCGTGTGATATACTTAAAGAAAGTTTTAGAGATCGTTTATTACGAAAAGTTAATACATTAGCTTCATTTTTTAAAAATTCTCATCAAGCTGGAGCCAAACTCACACAACTCATCAAAGAAAATAGTATTCATGGAGGAGGCATAAAGTTGTATTGTAAGACGCGATGAATAACAGCTAGTGAATCAGTGGATTCGGTAATTAGGTTGGAACCAGTACTAGAACAGATATTACTAATGAAAGTAATTTGTTAAACGATAAGGTCAAACGTGTTATCCAAACACGGAATTTTTTTTCTGATTTACGAATTCTTTCTTTCATTTTAGATCCACTGAGAAAAGCTGTCTTGGCTTTAAAATCAAGATCAGCAACGCTTGGAGACTGTTTTTTAAGTTTGATACGACTATCAGCAGTTTTGAAAAAATTACCCAAATCATTTAATTAAAATTTCTGTAACCATTATTTTAACGTGATGAATGAAAGATTCAAAGAGTTCGATGATGACAAATATATAACCTGCTTTTTCCTAGATTCCCAATTTAGGAGTAGGCCTCTCACAGCCAAAGCTTATTCAAAGATCGTGAGGTACGCTACTACAATTGGTAAAAGGTTAGGATTTGATCTTAAAGAATCCAGGGCTCTATGCGAACAAATTAAGGACTATCATAATAATAAACCACCTTTTGATCTTGATGAATCTTGCTCTCTAGACGATCCTCTAAATTGGTGGAATTTGATTGATACTGACTCTCAACCGAACAGCCTCCCAAGAGTCGCTCGCCATCTATTAGCGATTTGTCCAAATTTTGCAAGTTGTGAACGAGGATTCTCAACACTTGGCTGGCTATTTAATGATTGGCGTTTAAATTTAAATATAAGCCGACTAGAATCTATGGCTGCATTGGAAATCCAATGCTAAAAAAAAGCTCAGTTTTTACGGTATAGAAAAAAATGATACTTGTATTAGCAAAACTGAAATGAACATTCGAATTGCAGAGGCTCTAGCAGAAACCAATGATGATGATGATGAATGTGATGTTTTATCAAATAAAAGTTTACCTAATCAAATTACAATTCCTCCAGATAATTGTGTTGTCCTAATAGAACATGTATGGATTGATAAATTTGTTGATTTATCACACAAATTAATAATTGAAGAAATTGGAGAGATCCCAGACGATATTTTAGATGAATCTGAAGAAGAATATGAAAAAATTAATACGGATGATAGTAATGATAATGAGCAAGAAAGCGAACAAGAAAGCGATGGAGAAGGAAATTTTAACTATAATGTAGAGGATTTATTGAATGAATTTATCGATGTAGATGATGTAGATGAAGAATAATAATTTTTTCTTTATTTTTAGGTAATTATTATAATAATAATTTTTTTTATTAATAAAATAAATTTGTAAATAAGTTTATATATTGATTTATTTAAGTTTAAATTAAAAAATTTTTATGTGTGACGAAATTTAAAAAAAAAAGATTTTTTTAAGAACAAAGAGAACAAACAAAGATTTATTATTTTAAGGATGATATTTAAATTTAATGATGCAAACTAATAAATCAGTATTTTGAAGAAAAGGAACAAAAAGGAATTGTCCAAATTTTATTTATAAAACTTACTCATATCTCATTCTTTTTGCGTTTTTTCCTTACATCTTTTAAACAAATTTTTAACATTTGAATTTTCTTAATTTCTTAATTTTGTAAATATGCCCAATCGTCACCTTCATCGTCCGCCCTCGTCCTATTCAATGGTTTGATGTTTATTGACCCATTCCAAAAGTAATGAGAGAAGTGGTCTTTTTATGTCATGACACCTTAATCTTTGGCAAGTTTACTTAAAGTACCTGATAATATTTTTATTGGTAAAATACACCGATTACTTGGTGGAAGAAAGAAGAAAAAGAAATGACGAATTCCATAATGAATACAGGAGAGATCGATCGAGATTCTGGAGGTCAATCGCACAAAGGTTCATATGTATAAGTTAAATATGTTAAAAATAGAATTATCATCTTTAATTCAATCAATTCGTTTGTTTGAATCGTAGGAGGGCAAGAACCTACCTACATATCGTCACTGAAGATAATTTATTAATTTTATTATATTATTTTATAGTGAATAGCTAGGCACCAAATATCGGCACATTTTTTTGGGCTGTGAATTGATACTGACGTCCGGGTAGCATGTAAAGAATAGGCGGTAAAGTTTTTATTTATTTTTTATTTTAATGTGTGGCTTAATTTACTTAATAATTGACTTGTATATTACACAAACTAAATTTATTAATAATCGTCAACTCGGGTACTATTTTTAAAATAGTAGTGAACAAGAAAAAATATTTTTTTTTTATCAAAATTAAATAAAATAAAAATAAAATGGTGAACTTTTTTAACTGGGATTTTATTTCTTTAGTGATAAATTTGAATTTAGTTGCTAGTTTTTATCATTGGATTACATATAATAAATACAATAAATACTGTCGGATACTATTAACATGATGAAAATATGCTGAAACTCTATTAAAATATTAGTATTACTTATGCCAAAACTGTCAAAATGCCAAAACTGCCAAAATGCTGAAATGCCGAAACAGTTTTGGCAGTTTTGGCATTTTGGCAGTTTCGGCATTATGTATGAGTTTCGGCATTTCACGTTAGGCCAGATGGGTTTTAGCAAGCAACCCTAGTTATGTCATAAAATGTATTTTTACTTCGATACTTAAAGTTTACTTGTGAGTTATATTAGTATTATTCAGGGTCCTCTTTTAGTATCATAAAGAGTATTGGTTTATTGGTATAAAGAGTGTTTTGTTATAAATAGGTAATAAAGTCTTTAGTAATAAGATCTTTATTATAAGCTCTTTTCATATCCAAAGTTTTCACTAAAAGTATTTCTAAAGCTACTTAATAGTTATCATAATGTTGTTGCTTAAAGGTTATTATCCTCTATATACATTCTGTCTTTATATTCTTGTTCTAGTACACTTTCAATTTAACTTTTTTATTGTTTACCTTTAAATAAAGATTTTATCCAGTTTAAAAAAGAAAAGATTACTAATATTAAAAAGAAAAAGAATATTAAATAAGAAAGTGTATTTAAAATATAAAGAAGCTTAAAGAAAATATTTAAAAAAATGAAAAAAATAAAAAAATATTATTGAAAAAAATGGTTATGGATGTAACTAGAAATAATTCTGATTATATTATTATAACTTATTATAATTTATAATTTTAACTATTCTTCTATAATTCTTCTAATTATTTATTTATATAAAATTCTTCTAAGAAAATCTTTTATTCTATCATATGATTATTATTACATAATCTAATTATATAATCATTTTAGAGTTCAATTTCCACCTTACAGCGATCTAAAGAATGTCATTTTACAATTTATAAATACTTATTAATATATTTTTACTTATTTTATAATACCATATATATAGTAAATAATTAATATATTATATATATGTAATAAAATATATGCAATGTATTAAGAAATTAAAAGGATTAAATGTTATTATAAAATACCTATTTTTGAATAATTAATAATATTTTAATTGTAAAAAAACTTTTAAAAAATGTAAATATATGAAAAACACAATTTTAATGGATTTGAAAAACAATAAGGTAGTTATTCAAATATGTAAAAATATAAGAAGGCTTTTAAATTAAACCAAAATATATTTTTAATGGATTGATTTTATAACAAGAATGTTTTATAAACTATTAGAAAAATTCAAACATCTAAATTCTAAAAATTTCAAAGAAAATTAATATATTTAAAATATAATCTTAAATTATTAATGACATTACCAATAAATTATTACTGATTACTACTATCTAATAGCTCCCTCTAAACTGTTAACTTTGTTGTTTTTCTTTTTCTAATTTTCCTTGTTCAATCATTTTATTCAAAACAATTGATTCAAAATCACTTCCTTGTCTATATCCAAATAGTGGCTTCTATAAAGGAATACAATCACTAACGACACATAAAAAGTTTTTATAATAAAATAATGATAGATTAAAACTTACAGAAGGTCCTGGAACTTTAATGGAATTTTTTGATGATGATGGTGGTGTCAAATTGGTTCTATATGTTGTTGATGCTTTTGATCTTTGATCAGCTGATAGTCGCAATTTTTCTTCTCTTTCTCGTCTTCTTCGGGCTGTTTCCTCCTTGATCCGTTCAATCTTTGCCTCGCAAGATTCTTGTGTATAAACCGGTGTCTTTTTTGATTGTTTTACGGCTTTCTCTCTTTCTTCAAGTTCTTTAATAATAAATTTATGTAAGTAACTAAGTAAATAACAATAAGCATAATATAGCAAATCCAATTACCTTCTTTCAAAGCCTTTCGTTTAGCATCCAGCTTTTCAAATCTCTTCTTACTCTCAATCTTTGCTTTATGAATTTTATCATATTCTAATTTTTTCTGTGGATCGGTTAAAGTTTTATAAGCAGCCGATATTTGATGAAAAAATTTTGTAGCTATTTGGACATTTATACAAAATAAATGAATTGTCAATCTATTAAGAGCGGTATAACACAATAACAAACCTGCTTCTACGTTATCTCGATTTTTATCGGGATGAAATTTTATAGCTTTACGACGATATGCTTTATCAATTTCTTCTTTCGTGCTATTGTAATTAACTCCAAGAAGTTCGTAAAGATCTAAGTCATTTTCTTCTGTATTCATTATGGTTTATAGTTTGGTCTCGTTATAATGCTGCTAATTTAGCAAAAAAGTTACATCATGTGATCTCATAATTCTGGCCAAAATTATTTATGGCAATCGCATATCAGTTAATTTGCGTATCATAATTTCTATTTCTGCAAATCAAGGAGGATATTATCATTTTATTTTTATTTCTGGTGAAATGATTTATTGAATAATTAAAAAATGAACAAATGTTAGGAAAATTTGTACAAAGAAAAGTAATAAAAAATTTACTCATAAGAAAAACAAAACGATACTAATCCAAAAAAATTTGATAGATCATAAAACCAAAATTGTTATAAACATAATTATAATCAAATAATTTTGAATATAGTATTTCAGAAATAAAAAATATTGTATTAATCGAGCTCTAATGAAACAATTGCTTGATATCAGTACTACTAAATGGAAGCCCACATTTTGCACATTTACGATTACGTGCTTTTTCTTGTGCTTCAAGACATTCTTTACAAAACGTATGCATACATTTTAATAAGCAATGTGATTTGAATCGAATAGCACATGACGAACATTTAAGTAGTTTCTTATTATTAAACAAATAATTAGTATTTTTTTTCTATTTAAAAACAATATATTAATAGAAATAAAAGTACCTCATAACTCTGAATTAATTGTTGTTCAGTAGTGTCCGATACTTGTGTCCTTCGGAGATCTTCAACTTGTCTCTTATACATCTCAGTTTCTTCAGCACTTCTTCTTGACTTATGAGCTTCTTTTTCATATAATTTTATGCTCTCCTCAAGTTTCTTGGAGTTCTAAAATTTGTTGGTGTAAACGTAATCTCGTCAAACACATGAGCTAAAAGCTGAATATTTACTTTCAAAGAATTTAAAATATCACACCTCATTGTATGAAGTCACACTTCTTTCAATTTTTTCCTTTAAATCCTTATTCTGTTGTGTAAATTCATGCAATTTAAGCTTATGAACATCCACAACTTGTCTGGAACACGCTAATTCTTTGTTGGCATTATCCTGCAAAAAATTTAAAAATTAATAAATCAACCTCAGATTATAAAAATAGTAATGTTAGTAATTTCAAACCAGTTGTGATTTAAGATTTTCTTCGAGATAGCCTTTTTGTCGCAAGAGATCTGTTTGATTTTGAATAACTGTAGATAAATGATTCTTCTGTTTTTTCAAAGAAACATTTTCCATCCATATAGAGTTTAATTTCTGTTTCACTTTTGCTTCCTATTCAATATAATTATAATCAATCGTAATTTATTAAATTTTGATATTTTCTAACAACTTATTTCATACCGATTCCCGCGCGTTTTGCAATTTTTCATCATGTGCTATAATTTCAAACACTTTGACAGTATTTTCCTGGTCTTGACGTGCCCAATGATCACCCAGAACTTCAAGTTCTTGTAATAATTGCTTTTCATTCTATAATAATGAAATAAAATGATAAATATTAATTTATATTAATTTATTAACAAAAAAAAAAATTATTTGTTTACATACTTTTCTTAAATAATCACATTCTGACTCTATTTTCTCGATTTTTTTCTCCGCTTCTTCGATTTTAGTGGTGAGAATATGTAACGGATCATCTCCAGGGTCCTTAATACCATATTTCTCATCATATTCGTCCAGCCTACTCTTTAATTCTTCAACTTCTTGTTTTAATCTAGTTTCGGAATGTATAATTTCATGATATTCTCCCATATTATTAAGGTTCAAAGTGTTTTTCAGCTCATCCAATTCTTTTTGAAGCTCCGCCTTTTTTTTTTCTGATTTACTATAAAGATATATATTTTAAAAGATGATTTAATATGTTATTTAACAAGTATTAACCCACAAGTATATTAAAGTCAAGCTAAAAAAAAAAATACTTTAATTCTTCCTGTAAATGATGGTCATAAGATAATTGTCTTTTTATTAGCTCAAATGAATTTTTTCCTTGTTGAATTTCCTCATAAGAAACGTCCGGTGGTTCCGCAGGTGTACAATAAAAATCCATTGCTTGCTTATTACCCTCATTAGCAGCAATCTTCATATTAAGTCTCTGAATCTCAGTCATTAACTGACGTATTATTGTTTTCCTATCATTAGCAAGTACCCGCAGAGCAGATATTTGACGAAATTCTTGCGGTAACATTGCTCTCAATTTATCCACCTCCATTAATACATCATCCCTTTGAGCACGAATTCGATTTAAATCAAGAAGCAGCTTATTTAGTTGATCTTCCATCTCCTTAACAGTTTGTTTTGTTTCTTCCTAATTATATAAAGGAATTAGAATGACGTTATAATAATTATCTTGAATTATCAACTAGATTAAATAAGAATATATCCCTTTCTATTGTAATTCCCTTGTTATAAAGAATAAAGGATAGAAATCTCACTTGTATTTGATTTGTTGCTGAATTTCGTGTTGCTGTCATTTTTTCCATATCTCGACTATTTTGTTCCATAACTGTTCGTATATAATCTAAATTGTCTTTACAGTGAAAATATTGCACTTGTAAATTTCGATACACTTGAGATTCTATTATACGATCTTCAGGAAGGTTTTTAAACTTTAATACATCATTTATAGAAAAAGAATTATTAACGTATAAAATATAATGTTATAAATGAAATAAAACATTTAAAAATTAATACTTGTTCTCGGAGATGATGAATTTCTTCCTTTAACTTAGATCGTTCATTAGTCAATTCTTCTAATTCTTTTAATCGTGATTCGGCCAAAAATTTAAATTGTTTTAAATTTTCGTCTGTTTGGCGATTATTATGGCTTGGCTATTGGAATTAAATAATAAACGATCGGGATTAATGTAAAATAATTTAATATACGGAAAATATTATAAAAAAAGTAACCTTATCACTTTCAGAAGTGGTTGATGATCCAAATACATTACTTCCAGGATGTGTCCAATATCCAAGAGTTACACTTTTAGATCTATCTAAACGTTTTTCTGCCTGAACAAGTTCATCTTTAGCGACTTCAAGACGTTCTTCTGCTACTTCAAGTCGATTTTTAGTCTTCTCTAACTCGTCTTTAATAGTACTTTTCTATTTTTTTTTATAATAAATTATTATTATTTGATAAATATATATATTATTTAAAAAAAACAATATTTAGTTCAACAGGTATGATGTACCTCAAATGATACTGTGTGATGCTGTGCTTGTAATTCATCCAGTTCCTTCTGATTGCGTGCGATGAGAAGGTTTAGATTTTCATTTTCACCCTTAAGATTATGAATTACTTTACTCTCTTTCAACACTGGGTCTTTTTCATTTTGTAAAACCTTTATTAATTTATTTCTTTGTTCTATCCACGCAATAATCTTCTCAAGCAGAGTATTAATAACCCTTTTAGTAGTTGCAAATTTTTCTGTTAGCGATTCTTCAATCCTTTCGATAATTTCATCATTTTGCTCAAATTGTGATATTTGAGCAAGGAATTTTGATTCTCGAAGTTGTTCTTGAATAGCATCAAAAAAATTTATGAATTAACAATTATACCAGATATTAAAACATTACTATAAAGATAAATTTTTTGTAAGAGATAAAAACAAATAAAGATTATAACTATAAAATATTATTATTTTTTTTATTATTATTATTATTATTATTATTATCACTATTATATCAATTACCATCTGAAGGAATTAAGCTCGATAATTTTCCATCATCTTCAATTTTGGAGACAATCAATCGTAAATCATTTAATAGCTGAAAATTTTATTTATAAAGTTATTTAAAATACGTATGTATTATAACAACAAATCATTAGTGAAAGTTAAAACAATAAATACCTTATTCCAGCACCTATTTACAACACTTAAATGGTCTTCATAATTAATCTGTTTCTCTTTAAGTTGCTCATTCCACTTATTTATCCGCTCACTTTCCCGTTTATATTCGCGTAAAGCACGTATAATAGCCTCTTTTTGATAAAGCTAAACATTATTAAAAATAAATATAAAGTTCAGATTCTTGTATCTAAAAGCAAAATAAGAACTAACTGAATTTTTAAAACTCAACCTCAAGCCATTTTGGATCAGAAATATCTATATTAGCATAATCCTGGTAACTATTTGAGCTACTTGAGGAAGTGGTGGCTTGGCCATTTACACCGTGATTTGACCTTGATTGTTGTGATGACAAAAGTTGTCTCTTAGGGGGAGGGCTTTTGTCCGACGAAGATGAACTTTGTTCAGCATAAGTTCTTTTTCTGTCTTCCATCGTTACGATGGTATTGAAGGTATTGATGGTATGGTATACACGTCGGTCTACGTTAGATCAAAGATCTAAGAAAATATAAAAACGTCAAATATAATCGTTGGCTATTTGCCGATCATCATAAAAGATACTTACTGTCACACCGTATCACTACGGCACTTCCGTACCCCCTCGGGTACGTCAAAATTTTCTATCACGTGATCTTTATTTTTTGTTGACCTAAAATGCTTAAAAAACCAACTTTTTGAACCAATTTTTTTATTATTATTAGAAGATACATTACACATATTATGTCATATTTATTATATTTAATTTAATATTATAGGCTTACTTTTTTTAAAATTTAATAACTAATCAAATTATAATACAGTTAACCCACCTAGAACTCTGCACAGATCTGGTCAGGTTAGATTACCTGGTTAACCTGAACTGATATTTTTTTTCAGGTTGGTTCAGGTTGGATTAGAGCTCCAAAAATGACTTGCATAAACTCGCATTTTTGACTCGCATAATTGTAAATTTTTGTTTAATTATATTCTAACTTAATAAAAAGTACTTTAAAATTAAGGTTTTTGACTCGTGACTCAACTCAACTCGACTTATTAGGAGCTCTAGGTTGGATAACCTACTTTAATCTGACCTGATCTATTGGTTCAGATTAATTCAAATCACTTCAGGTAACCTGATTGCTTCAGGTAATTAAATCATAATAAATTTATTAAAAAATGTTTTTTTTAATTAAAAATTATTATAATAAAAAAAACATTTTTGCAACATTTTTTAATAAATTTTTAAAAAAATGTTGCCAAATGTTTTTTTTATTAAAGTATTTATTATTTAATTAACAAAAAAAATGATGTGAAAATATTTTTTTATTAAATTTTTTATTAAAAAATATTTTTGCAATATTTTTTAATAAATTTTCAAAAAAAACATTGCAAACTGTTTTTTTATTAAAGTATTTATTAAAAAAATGTTTTCGTAATGTTTTTTATTAAAATTTTAAAAAATATTGCAAAACATTTTTTTAAAATAAAAAATATTTTTGCAACATTTTTATTGAAATTCAAATATCTATTAAAAAAATATTTTGTAATATTTTTATTAAACTTTTAAGAAAAATTTATGTGAATTTTTCTTTCTCTCAAGTATTAATCCAAATGTATGTCAGATTAGGACTTTGCTTACTACTAAGATATATTACTGGTAGAAATTTCATTTTTATATGAAACCTTACCTTGGGATTTACTTAAATTCTATTGGTTAATTAACTAAAAAGGAAAAAAATCATAACAATGTAACATAAAATTTCCTTTTATAGTAGAATCTTTAAAGAATTTTACATGTAAACCTTACCTTGAGTGGGCCACAGGATGACCTATCTTAATAGCACTGGTCAAAAATCAGGCAAACATGGCATAGTAGCCTTTATCTTTATTAAATTTATTCGAACTTTACAATTTACAAAAATAAAAAGAAAAATATAAAAATAAAACTAACTAAAAACAAAGCTATATAGTCTCCTAAGAAAAAATAAAGTAAAAATTAATCTAAAAAAGAAAAATCGCATTACACTAAATTTTCTCAGATCTTCCCCCTTGATATATTCCAACCAAAGTAGAAGCAACTATGCTAACAAAATAACGAATAGCGCGCCCACTATAAAAATCGACACTCCATCCTGCAAAAGCTGTTATTAAGTAGCACCGTTAGACGACCCATAAAACCCGAAAAGTGATTAAACCAAGGCAAACCATATTTCATCGAGTTCTTCAACCAATCGGTTTGAGTAAGGTATGTACGTTGACAAAGGCAAATTAGAAGGCTTCGGAGTAGTTTTCAACTTATAAGTAATATTCATCGCGTTTTCCCATCTACTTTTTTTATAAGAACATGGATTCCAAATTCGGCGTCTGAATTTTTGAACAAAATTGTTATGAATAGCAGCGACAACCTTTATCGCAGAATTTCTTGGAATAGATAAATCAACAAATAAGTCGATAAAGAGCCTGGGTAGACAACCTCGTACAAGGGCATAGGAGGACCAATTTGTAAAAGAAAAGGACCAGCATGAAAGAGAAGTAAGTTTAGCAATAAGTGGAGTAGGGTCAATGTCAGCCATATTACCGGCTTCCAGAAGTTTAGAAATCAAATGAGTTTGATAAGATTGAAGAATCTGTTGCATAGGCAGACGACGTCTTTTGCACATAAAAAGGTGCATCAGGTCTTCCATGCGGTCGATACAGGAATGGCAAGTTAATTCGTCCATGTATAAGTCTGGTCGAGTTCGTTTAAGCTTTTCCAATGTAGGCAAATCATCTAAGAAAAGTTTGAATTTAAAGGTTAGGTGTCTTGAAGCATGCTCAGGAGTAAAGGATGCATCATAAGAAGGCTTGAAATTTAAAGTGAACCAGGTAAGATCCCAGTCGACAATATAATCTATATTAGATGATAATAAAGAAATAAAGTGAAATCGCGTTAAGTCTAACAAATCACGCATTAACTGCGTTTGATAATATTGTTTAAGAAGGTGCCGCGGATTAGATTCACAGACAACATCATTATCATAAGTTAGGACAAAATCATGAGCAGAGGCCAGGTCCATCCCAGAAATCAAAATACTGGATAACGCAGTATGAGCAGTATTGGCCAAGGAATCAGCAAAATCGTTTAAATAATTGCCAGAATGAGCTTTAACTTTGACGGGAAGGACGGTTAAATTCTTGGAGAGAATGGTTCGATCAATAATAGCCCAAAGCTCAAAATTTGTAGTTTTGAAATATAGACGACTATTTGAATAGACAAAAGAAGAGCAACTTCGAAGACCATCAATGGCAGTTTGCGAGTCAGTATAAATAGTAACTTCTGAGTCGCGTAGAAAAATAGTTAAAACTGCGTAAATAGCAGCAGCTTCAGCTCGAGAAGAAGAAGGATTATCTCGTATAAGGCCGTGAGCATAAGTGGCGATGGAGTTAGGAAAACCTGCATCAGGGACTATTTGCATTCAAGACCAGCCCATAGAAACATCGGGAGTGCCTAAATTAATAAGAGACCCATCAGTGAAAAAAATATAGCGCGAATCCGAGGAAACGACCAGCGGGGAATTTGCAAAAACAGCAGCAGCCGAGGATTCAATAGTAACAGGAGTAACAGAAGCTACAGCGGTATCTGCAAAAAGAAAATCAGAATCAAAATCCAATCTACTATAATAAAGTCGAACACCATCTTCTATATCAGCCCAAGTAAAGGGGGAAGTCACTTCAGAAGTAGTACGTCTAATCCGCTCATTGGTAGTGGGTAGAATAAGCGAATGTTGTAGAGAGACCGTAGGCGTACAAAGGGTTAAATCAGCATTCCGTTTTTTGGAAGGAGGCAAAGGAGTATGGGCAGCGCAACCAGGACAAGGAGAAAGTTTGATGAGATTACCAGGCGAAGATTCACAATCAGGAGAAATCCAGTGAACAATAGAACAAGTACCACGACTTGCTTGAATCAAAAGTTGTTTGCCAAAAATAGGAGAACCATAATCATCCAACGTGATGATCCAATTTTTTGTAGTAGGAGGAGAGGACAAACAAGGAGCCAATTCATAAGATAAAGAGACAATCATAGGCGTAATAATAAAATAATCCAGCAAATGATTGTTGGAGTCAGGAATAGTGGTAGCTTGTTGAATATCTTTGTACCAATAAGAGATACGGCCAGGGCCACGACGTCCAACCAAATTGTCATAGTAAGCCTTCCAGGAAATCAAATGAGTTCCTTGAGGAGTAACAAGCTGAGATAGATAAAACAGCTGTCATTTACGCAGAATGGGAAGATAGGCTTTAAAGGCTTTAGGTGTCATGCATTCAAATAGAGGAACGCGTCTGTCTAACAGGGATAAGTTCGGAAGCTTCGAAAGTTGAGTATGAAGCAAACGGAAAGGAGTAGAAGTTAAAAGAGCAATAGTGCATGCGATATAATCTTTCTTAAAGGAAAATAAAGAAGACCATATAGTCCAGTCCTTAATTAAAAGAGGAGAAATAGGAATCAAAAAAAGATATTGAATTAAACACAATCTATAAATAAACAAAGATTGAATAAAGGAAGAAGAAGAATTAGCCATTAAAAATAAATTAGTAATATGACATTGTCGCTGATGAGCAAACAAATTAATCAAGCCCAAGAATTGAGATAAAAATAGAATAGAATTGGGTAAAGAACGAGAAAAATTTGCTTTGTGCTTTACAACAGATCGTATACTTCTCGTTATTAGGTGGCAGTCAGATTCGGACAAGTGAGTAACTTGCATCCGGTATTCAAGTTTTGGTATAAGAATAGCATTATGTAAATACACGACTTGTTTGGGAGAGAGCTTTGCTGGTCGGATGGTCGCAGCAAAGGAGCAGCATTCGCGTGTGAGTTGCTTTTTGATAAAATCACGGGAGCTTCTAATGTTAAACCAAATACCTAAAAAACGAAAAGAAGTTGTCATGGAAATTGGGGTAATAGTAATGGAAGGAACACTATTTAAAGAGGTTAAATCCAAGTTAAAAGTAATAGGAAGTAAAGTGGAATTCGAAGTCAAAGGCAACGAATTAGTGATTAACACATATTTGTTATGATTGGCAGAAGTGTTATTGATTTGATAAAATTCTTCAGTAATGGATAACATAAATTCCATGCCAGCTTTTGACGAAGAAATAAGAGTAGAGTCATCCATAAAAACTAAATTATTAATCTTCAAATCAGGAGAAGAGGTTGAAGAATTAATTAAAGACGGTATAGAAAGAATATAAGGGTCTATCATTTCATTCTTCAAAACAGTAAGTAAGGGATCAATATAAATAACCCATAAAAGAGGAGAGATAACTTCGCCTTGGTCAATACCAATGCGAACCCTATAAGCAGGCGTAGACCCATGAGCAGTAAAAATGCGATTAGTGCGTTTCGTGAAAAGGGAAAGGATAAACTTGACAGCGGAGGCTGGAAGACGTATACGTTCTAAAGCGAAACGTAACATTGTTAGATCAACTGAGTCAAAAGCTTTAGAGATATCTTGAGAAAGAATCCAAAGTGTGTTTTTGTTGACATCAGCGTCATGGATAATAGATTCTAAA